CAAATTTGTATTTATTTATAATTTCTCGAACTATTAAAGCATATTATGCATATTATTTCCAATCCTATAATATTTTTTCACTTTTTAAAATTATTATTGCAAAATATTCACTTTAACTTTAAAATTGCTTTAAAATTTTATTTACATACACAATAAGAAAGCTGCTGAGCAATAAATCAATCCATCAATAATTTTTCAATTTCTTTTGAAGATATTCTAGATGAAGGGAAACATTTACATCCCTTGACAATCTAATTTTTACGTGCGCTGACAAATTTATTAAATAAACAAGATGTCAGAGAGGAAATTTTTTATAAGTAAAAATAAATTTATATGTTAATCGCAAACGTAAACAGAAGAAAAGTTATAAACTCCATACTTCAGAAATAATTTTTATATCCTTGCATACATTTTCTTAAACCAATTTATAGGATATTGACAATATATTAGAGAATTAAATAGAATTTGTGTGAATAGGCTGTTATACGAGTATGTAATATCATAAATAGAAAATTATCAAGCTAATTCAGCTAAAGAAATTATCATACAATTTTTTATAAATTAATTTCAAAAATTTATTTTTCTAATTACAAATTAACCTTTATTTATAGTAATTATTATGAAAAAACTCCTCCATAGGGTAGTTTATGGTAATGCACTAAAATCTTAATGGTTATGATAATACGAATTATTTTTATACCTTAAATAATACTTGTACTTCTATCTGTAGTCATTTCAGTATACTATCCCAATCCCTCACTGTTAACAAATCCATTATTGCAATATTATATCTTTTACATATTCTGATTGGCATTGGCATTTAACAGTGTCATTACTTTCGCACTAGCTTCAAACTGTATTTCTACTTTTTAGAGTGAATACAGGTCAGATCTCATCGGTTAGTCACTTTAATTTTCCATCTCAAACTTTCTCTGTAAACGATTTTGTTTGGAATGATTCAATTGATATATGCTGATTTGCATTGACATCAAACAGTATTTCTACTTTTTAGTATCAGTGTACGAAAATAATTGAGTCACACTTGTTAGTATTATAAGATATCCCTACACCTATCCCAACTTTTGTACTTTTATCTATTATTAATTCCAATATTCTTTTTAGGACCTACTTTTAGGAGGGGCTTTCTCCTTTTCAGTCGCTGTTATAAGATAATTCCACATCTATCCCAACTCTTACACTTTTATTTGGTAGTAAATTCTTCCCAATTCTATTTTGTCAATAAAGTCGCTTAAAAAGATTTAAATTATACATATTGTATTGCACTGTATCGCATCAAACAGTCCTTCTGGTTTTTAAGATGGGTGCATTATAGGTCTCACAGGATAATGTTATAATCTTATAGTTTGTTAGCATGCGATTATCTTGAATCTTCATTCCGTTGAGATAATAGTTAGATCCAAATTCATTTTATCTATTAGTTGTTCTAGATACTTGTCACATTTATTACCAACAAAATATTATGATTAGTGGCAACTTAATTTTTTATTTCATTTTAAAGCATTCTTAATATATACAAGAGTCGGTAGGCTACCAGTTGTCCGCATTCCTAGATTAAAATAACTTAAAGTTATTACTTTATGTGTAGTTTCTATCCATAATATTCAGTTGCTTCATCTATTGCTAGAATATCAACTTAGAAGATGCAGTAATAGTTTAAAATTCTACAATTCATATTTAAAACCAGCTCTATAGAAGAGAAGATATAGATTCTAATATTTATTTAAATTTTCTGGATAAAAGTGTCATTTATTATTGCGTATATAATAACTGGTATTATTGGACTGTGCTTCAATCCGTATAGTTTTTGCCTATATCATCAGTAAAATAATACAATTTTTTCAAATTAATATAAGTAACATAATTTCTCTTTAAATATCTTTCATATTTTATAACATTTTTTTATAAATGGAAAAAATTTTTATTCTCCTTAAATACTTTTTATAAAATCAATATTGTTCTTATATATAAATGTTAACTAATCTCTACTTAAAAAACTACTGCTTTAATGAAATAAAGAAAAGTCAATTAATTCCATATTTTTGATGAATTTTTTATTATTCAAATGCAAAAAAAAAAAAAACACCTGCAGACATGCTGGGCTGGGTGTGAACAGTTGCGTGTCTTCAAATCATAATACATTTAAAGTATTTTTATACTCTTTCCAGCAATTTTTTTCTCCTTACTAAATCATTGTTGTTGCCATAATAATGGACGAATGCTATAAAAATACAGCAAACTAAAATAAAACTAAGCCACATGCTTCGCTGAACAACAACAACAACAGCAGCAGCAGCAACAAAAAGCTTTGTTAAAACTTTATAAATTGTTACAAAGTCAATACATCATATTTCAAGGCAAAGGGAAAAAACGAGATGGCCGTTAAAGTTATTTTTAAATATAATATTTTTACAAAAAATAAAAAACAAAACACGCAAACACAGACATATGAAAGGCATATGCACATATGGTGTGTGTTTAATGAATTGCGGCAGAATCACTTATGCAAACTAATGTGTATGCACATTTTGTTTATTTACTTACCCAACGGTGTGTGTGTTTATTCCCCGTCTGTATGAGAAACATCAAAAGGTTTGCATAAAAAACAAAGTAATTTAAAATATTTTGAATTATTAAAAAATGGAAATGAATGCGAGTGTATGTGAATATTGTTTTTTTTTTCAATTTTACTTACACTTTTACATGTGTAAACATGTTCACATGTAATTACTTTTTTACTTGCATTGTTTTTTATTGTTGTTTTTTTTCCTGTTCGTTGCCTTTTTAGTTAACAGTCAGGTGTGAAGTGTTAATAACTGTCAAAGTACATGAAATTCATTTTTTTCTTGTATTTTTTTTTGTACATTTCTGAGTATCTGAAAATTTTCATTCAGCAACTTTTACAAGCAAATATAAACATACACACATACGCACATAAGAATATAAATTTTTTCACAAATTTGTTATGTGTGTAACATGTGTTGCCATAAAGTTTGGGTTGGTAACGTTGTACATTGTTTTACTTTTTATCTCCTTGGTGCCTACGCACATAAAATTTAAACATGTTAGCTTTAATAATATTAAAAACTATGTACAAGAAATTTTAATTATATAAGTTTAATTAAAAATTAATATAAAAACTTTTTACCGTAATTAAATTAGTAAGATTTTTAAAGAAATTATTCAAAAACCCATTAAATAAACTTTACTTGTCAAATATTATATATTCTTCTATATAATATTCTTCCATAATCTTCTATATAATGTTGTGTAATCAAGTAATTTCACAAATGGGTTGTATATACTGGTATTAAGAAGATAATTAAACACGTTTTTATTAAAAACAATTTTAAAAAAAGTAATTTAATATATAAACATAATGTCCTATATACTGGTATTAAAAGAATTAAAATCATTGAGTTTTTATTAAAAACTATTTCATAAAGAAAATTTTTAATACCTACATTAAATCATATGTACTGGTTTTAAGAGAACAATTAAAATCATCGCGTTTCTATAAAAATTTGTTTTATAAAAACAAATTAATTATACATTCACTTACGTTATATTATATATATGTGGACTGTAATCGGCACACTTTTACTAGCCCATTTGAATATCTCTAGCATTAGGTCGACCTGCATTCTTCACTGCTTTATAAACTAATTCAAATTTTTGATTAGTTTTACCAACTTATCTATTATAATATTGATAAAAATCAACTTTTTATTAGTCAATCGCATTCCTAAATTATATAAATTTAAATTGGCATGGGTCAAACATTCCTTAGGAGGTTTTTTCTACCTCCTTTAAAGTTACGACAAAAGTCTGTAGCATGAAATTTAGCCTTTATTTATGGTTTGCTATCAGAAAGTTTCCCTTTATTACTTCTATTTCTTCCTCGAAACTAAAGCAAAGTTCTCTTGCTATTATATTTAGTCATTTATCATTATTTCCTAACAAATTGTTTCAATGCTGTCTTACTATGATACTGAAGGCAGTTGAAAACTTCTTAGACATATTCTTGATTCTTGGAATTTGACCGTCTGTAAATATATTACAATGAATATTATTTCCCGAGTTAGTATCTCCACACTTGTTAGGATTTTATGCTCCTAATCTCAGCGTTTGTATACATATCCCTCAAATATTATTATTTCTCTGGTTTGTAACTCCACTCTTGATAAGACCACAGCATGAATATTGATAAATATTTACGTTCTTCAATATCCAATATTTATTGTGGATATGAATATGAATTTAAAAGGTATAGCAATGATCAAAAATTTAGCTATACATGTTTAATACTAGGTCTACAAAAATATTCTACACCCCCTTTACTATTTACAATTCATTTATTCATTTATCGACTATGGCTACAATATCAACTTCGAAGATATAGCAATAGTCGAGAATTCTGTCATGCTTGTATAGTCGATGCCAGCTATACAAAAAAGATTCTATAACCCACTTTACTGTTTTGGTTCGATCTGTTAAATTCAAATATAATCCAGTCTTTCCAGCTAAAAGTTGTCGTGTCGAATATTTTGCCAAATATAAGTATCGTACTTAAGTTTATATTATTCCAAAATTATGTTTAATTAGCTCTCTGTACTGAATTTCTTAAGAATTTACTTAATCAATTAATATTAAAAAGGCAATAGCTCAGATTCACACAAAGTTTTAAGGTATTTAAAAGTTGGTGTGTGCTTTATATATTAAGTATATATATTTACAATAATATATATATATCCATATATATTTATATATATTATCGTTTTATTCGACGCACGTTAAAATTAGAAGGAAATAATATTTGTATGAAAATGTCAAAAGAGTAAGAAACGAAATTTGTTGCTTAGCGATTGGTAAAAAGTTTTCTAATAAATGAAAATTGCCGAAAACTTCAGAGTAAAGTTGAGTTTTTCCTTTGTGTAGTACTTTTTCATTTCATTTTCCTCACATATTTTCTTTTTTTTTTCTTCTATTGAAGTGCTTAATTTTTTCATATATGAAAACGTTTGTAGAGCTTCGCATACATGCGCTTGACGTGACGTATGAGTGATATTTCTGTAAATATTAAATTATTTTTCAATTACTGTTTAATTTTGCTATTATATGAAAGCAGAAAAAGAACTTAGAATTCATATAACAAATAGGAAATTAGCAACAAATTTTAACAGAAATAAATTTATAATTTAATATAAAAATATATTTAAATATTTTAAACATTCATATATAAAAATGTCAATTCTTCTATAAATATGGCGCTATAAAAGATAGCACACTTTAAAACTATTTGCAATTTTCATATTAAATATATTCCACTTTATTAATTATATATATTGACCTCAAATTCTGTTCCCACAAAATTAATTTTTTATTTTTTAGGTTTTTTTTACAAATTTCACTTTTCTGGCCTCTCTATTAATGAACTCCATTATTAGTATACGTATTAAGGCCCATCTTACGACAATAGATTGAGAGATTGAGTATCAAAAAGATATTCTGATAAAAATAAACTTTAAAAAGTAAACTATAAAAAACTCCATTCTCTACTAACAATTCACACAGGTACTGTGATTAATATTTACAGTACTCCTTATACATTTGGAGAAATTAGTCCTAAATTGAATTTTTAGTTAAAACGCTTAATGAAGAACTATTTTTCAACAGCCTTTTTGTCATCTTTTTATATCTATCGTCCTGAACGTTCGCTCCTCCACAGAACCAGAATTAATAAACACTATCCAATTTCACAGACTTAGTTCGATCTTTCTTAATTAAGACACAACCTTTCAATTTCCATATACTTTTTATGCTTTCAAATATTTAATTAATACCACATATCAATAGATCTCTATTTATATATATACTCAATTTCACAATACAAAAAATAATTATTTATCAGAAAAAAAGATTTTTTCGTCCTCCAAAAAAAAAAATTGATATTACTTTGATTAAAATTTCCTTTGGAAATTTAAAATGAAAATGACTTTCTTCAAAATTTAATAAATTTATACTTCATTAGTTAGTATCTATAGACAAAAATATCGCCTTGCTATTTACAATAGATACTGATCAATTCATAATCCTAAACAAGCAAATTAAATCGTAGAAGTTACAATGACTGATCATCAGATACTCTTACCCGTGATATAGTTAGCAATTATTTGTCACATTCTTTGTTTTTAATCGAACAATCTATGATGAACATAACTGACTTTCAGTTTGAGTTTAAAAATAAGCACTCTACTATTGATCAAGTTCATCGAGTAGCTAAGATGAATGAAAAAGCATTTGAAAAAAAAGAAATACTGCCCCGCAGTGTTTATCCCAAATATTTGATAGTGTATTATTCAAATGCTTGAGCCTTACTTACTCAAAAGAACATTCAGGACAACATATGAAGAAGATCATTCGAACGTGTATAGTATCAGAGCAAAAGTTCCTTAGGCTTCTGTACTAGGACCTATGCTCTATATTCTCTACACAGCTGATGTGTCAACGAGATGATACTCTAGTAATGGCATCTGGAGACACATAATAAGCAGCCACAAATAAATTGCAGGCAACGCTTCACAATATCAGCTGTTGGACCACTAACTAGAAGATCAAGCTTAATCAATCCAAATCCATTCTTGTAACCAAATCCACTTGTATACATATCTAAATGGCATACTTTGGATTGTGCTCTATTAAAGAGATTTGCAAGTTGGGTATTAGGTATTAATTATTGCAATTAAATCATAGCGCACTTAAATTTCAGTCATTTTTACATTTTAAATGTAGATAATATTCAAATCATAATGACCAAAAATCAGTTCATTTTATTTATTATGATTTTTAAAATGTTAAACTTTTGTCTGAAATCGTTTCAACTTGTCGTACAAATGTAAAATGCTTGTATATTTTTTTTCTGGCATTTATCATATATGTTTAATCAAAAACAGTGGACAGTTAAAAATGTTCATCAATTATGTAAATTAATTTAGTAAGTTCAAAACAATTTTATCTCTGTGTTTATGCAAGTACACATATAGATGCATACAGCATCAATAAACTTATGTATTTTTCATACTGTAAAATTTTTTTTCCTGGCTGATAAAAATCCAGTAATAAATTACTTGTCACAACTTTTAATCCTTTCGGCACTTAAATGTCACACGTCGAAATACAAACAACATTTATTATTATTTCTGAAACTTTATACTTAATGCTGGGCTCTCAGGCTCTCAGGCTCTCATGCAATCGTTTGGCACATGGATCGAGCCTATAGATATAACCCAATAGGCAAGCATAAACGCTAACCATTCAAGTGTGTTTATGTAAAGGTCATATAAACATACAAACATCGAGATACACACACTTCAATGCATTTAAAGTTCAAAACAATTTTTCAATGTAAACATTGTCACAAACGTCAGTAAGGAAAAAGGACTATTCACTGAACCATTGTTGCTTGTCAATCACTTCAGTCAGTCATTCTTGCATCCTTACGCAAGGTATAATCCAAACATGGGTGCTTTTAGCAATAAATACTAAATACATAAAGCGTGTGTTTGGTTATGACTTGGCTGAGTGCATAGAAATTGGTTTGGGCTACCGATATTAATGAAATGACATTAATTTGTGTCTTGCTATGGGCCTACGGGGCGTATGAGTAATAACCGTTGTTTATTTTTGTGTTTGTTTATATTTTCTGCTGTGAAAACATATTTACGTACTTATATGCTCCAATAAGGACATGGACACTTTATTTAATGATTACCACACCTTGCAGCTAGTACTGCTTTCGTCCGTTTCGCTTGGTTATTTGTTTGTTTATCGTTATGGGAATTTTCAACATTCCATAATCGAACTTGCTTAAAACCTTTTTCAAAATTAATAGGTTTTCTTGGTAAATAGAAGAGGGTCACCTATCAAGTGGACCAACCTTATGGTTGAGTAATTTCATTTTGATGATTTCAATGAGTTCACTAAGTTTACAACCAAAATTACGTTAATGGACCATATAAAGGATGAATGTAATTTTTTAATACAATTGAACCTTAAGTCAATATTCTACCTACTAAGCTCTTTAGGCAAAACAATTTCGAGTTTATTGCTACTCTTGTGTCCACACATTTAAATTGTTGTAGTTTAGGTTAAAAAATATTGTTTTCCTACCTAACAATAATGGCAATTGTATTCCCAACGAGGAAGGGAAGTTAGTGGATTACAATGAAATCAATGTCATCTTTTGTTTGGTCATTAAATTTACATGGATGAGCTTGTAAAGACTATTAATTGCCATAAATGATGATGAACATTTATTAGTTGAGTAAAAAAATTAATTATAATATTATTTACAAGATCTGATATGAAAAATTTGACAAAAGACTTAAGCAAAAACATAAATTGCCACAGCAAGAACAAATCTCATTGAGCTCTCCGAAACTAGTTTGATATGAAAGGGTTGATATGATTTGAATATTTAATAAAGTGAATGTTGAATTCAGTGATTATAGAAAGAAAAAAGAAAAGAAAAACATTTCGACTTTTGTTATATATGGCATGGAACTGTAAATAAAATAATAACACTTACTTTATATATATACAACAATATAAGGCCCTACTAGAAGAGAAGGACAACTGTAAGTAAGTTTACAAAATTATAAGTATATAAATACAAAATGTATAAATATCTAAAGTCTTTATATACTTAACTAGAATACTGTATCAGAAATCATCATATACAGATCAGTTATCATGCTTTTAAAGAAAAGTATCAGTATCAGTCATTAATTAAGTGAACGACAGCTCCGCGTGTTACTCAGTCTCCTCAAACAAACTTACTTAATAATGGGATATCTAATCTTAATGTATCTAACCGATATATCCGCATAACCTTATCAGGAATCATCGTTTACAAATAAACCATAAAGTTTTTAGACAAATCCACTGAGCTATTATCAAAAATGTAAACAACAGTATGCTACGCTGTTGTTCTGTCTCCTCACACAGACTTAATTGTCATATGAAATTGTACATAAAAGAAAAACAATTAGTTATTAAATACAATATATAGAATTATCTAAAGTCTTAATTTAATAGGAGTCATCATATACAAATCGCCATTTGGACGAAAGCGATGAATAACTATCCATGATGTGAATGATAGTCTACTACTATCAACAAAAACTTAATCTTGGAATTCTTATATATTCTTATAGAAAAAGTTTCTAGAGTTGATTGATGGAATTCTGGATGAAAAATATCCCTACTGATATTTAACTCAAAGAAACTGCTACGCTAAAAAGCTGTATCGCGCTTGCAATTACAAAAAGCCGTCACTCCTTAGAAAAACAGATTTCAAACTATTGACAGAATATGTGATGGTTTGCTATAACCTGCGTTATCTGGATTAAAACAGGATACAGCTATCTGAAATAACAGAATAGCGAGTCTCTTAGAACCAATGATTCCTCTAGTCATCTTGTTTCCGACTATTGGACTTTGAATTGCGCCGGGAAGCGAATACTAAGCCAGAAGCTTCTATCCACATTTCATATGAAAGAATTCTCAACGAAAGACAGTTTGATCTTTATTCAAAGAACTGTGTGTCTTCTATTCAGTTGGACTATGCTCACTATTACACGCTGCGTTAGTAGCTTGTGCGCTGTATATTTTTATTCTACTTCTTACATTTCCAGAGGACATTTTGGGTTTCATTTCAGAAGTGTCTTCTTGTTCAGTAAGGTTCGGTTTGTGCTGTGGTCACGTTATTACTTCAATTGGGATCTAGTACTGTGCTTATTTTTATTTTATTATATTATATTCTTTTCCGGAAAACATTTTGGGTTTTAAACAAAATGCTGAGTATCTTCTGTACAGTTGGGGTTGGTGTGAACTGTAATCGCAGTTTAATAAGATAATCGCAGAGCTAGTACCGAATTATATTCTATTCCTTTCCGTTATAAAAGGCTTGTTGACAAACAATTGAAACTGATGTTATACAAAATAATTGCCGAAAGTAAACTCATGTTAACTTATGATTTATATAAATAAATGATTTAGTTTTAGTTTCA